TTCTTTACGACAACTTGTAAACACTTTTAACAGTCGCTGCTGTGTGTATTCACGACTTCTCGTATAAAGTCTGAGCCGCCCAATTAAAATTAGTTGTTGAGGATTACATAACGGAATGCCTCAAGAAACGTGCACTATCGAACGTTTTTGAACGTGAAATTCCTGGTTTGTTGATCAAAAAACTTCATAACCTGTACAGAGTCAAGTGTTTGGGCGAATTGTATATGATGCGCTGTTGCGAGAAAAGTACAAGAATATGTACATGGAGACAATGTTAACAAAGACCGCTCGAGCAATCGTACTGTCCCTTTTATGACGATCTTCGAGAAAATATGTTTCGTAAAATTTATAAAAAATCACCTGACATCATATGAGAAAGAGATGAAAATAGAATTAACTGGCTCTTTAACGAGGGTGTATCTGACCTAGCAACTTTCATTTATCGAGCGTGGGGGAAAAGAAGAAAATACCTGTATTCATAACACATCAACACTTTCTGTGACTTCTGCACGTTTGTTTTCTCTTATTATGTTTGATTTACCTTATGTACTTGTATTTATTTTGCGAACTCTTGGTTCATTATGTACAGATTTGTTTATTTGTATTTACGATCTCCTATGAGTTCACTTATTTGTTCACCAGTATTGTATATAGCATACCTTTATTTGCGTTCATATTTTGTTTGGATTATGTTATCTGTACCTTTGATCGTCTTTTGTTTTTGTATAATTTATTGAATCGGTGTCGTATAAGCCCACACGGGCTGGGCGCGGGATAGCGCACGACACGGAAATAAAGTATCATTCATTCATTCATTCATGCATTCATTCATTCATTCATTCATTCATTCATTCGTAGTTTACAGATATCAGTATCAAGGTTGAAAAAAATAAAATTTGCAGAAAATTGACTTTGTAAACGCAGTTTTATTGTCGTGAAATTGCTTTGAGTGCCTTCAAGCTTAAACTGTTTTCTTTTCCTTGAAGAGAAAATCTCGACGATGGAGGCGAAAGACTGCATGGAGTTGCGGCAAAAGAACTACACGCGGAGCGGCATCTACACCATCACACCTGCCTTCACAGGGGTGGGCGACGGCGGCAAGGGCTTTGATGTCTTCTGTGACATGGACACCGACGGAGGGGGCTGGACGGTAGGACGGTCTTACTTTTTAACACCCTGTAAGACATGGCCGAATATTTTCACTCCTCAAAGAAGTTACATATAATTATGATACGCTCGGATACGTCGTCGAGCTGTATCTATATCTGTACTCCTATAGCCGGTAGAACCGTCCTTCGACGTAAAACACCAACTTTATTCATCAGTGATATCATGGCATCGAGCGTTTATAATGGCAACGACCGTTTACGAGATGGAAAAGCGCAACATGGGAGTCACTTCTGTTAAATTTTGTATGCGGACGCCCACGCCCCGCAATACAGCTAGAAGAAAACAAGCCAAGACACAGACGAACTCTGATTCAACTCTGTCAGGTTCCGCGTCTTCTGCAAAATACCGGCTTCTTAGAAGAAACTCACCAAGATTAGCCCAATAGAATAGTGTCTAAGATCATTTCGGATCCTTTTCCTCACACTAAACTCTTGAACTTTTCAATTAGAAGGTAATAACTTAAAGGCCATTGGCATTTTGCAGGAGAAGACGGTAAATAAAAATGGTTCCAACATGGGAATTACTTAAAGCTGTGTTGCTAGGTATCCTTTAGGTAAATTTTGGCTGTATCCGAAGGCTCTAAAAGGATCATATAATTCGGGTCAACTGGATAAAATACATGTACACTGTACAGTATGGTAAAAATCATTTAATCACCAGCATGTGCTATACATGATGATGTAGCTGTCGGACATAATCAAATTATGTCAGTAACGGCGAGGTCTCATTAGTCAAGGTCGTTGATTTTTCGAGCAGGATGTGGGAGAATCAACCCGAGTTGGACGAGGGAGAAATTCTACCAATTTTTTCGTCACTGTACCCTGCCAGCAAGTAGTTTGGTGACGGGCCAGCGTTGGAGAGGTGTTCCGGCCGGCCCATTTTGTTTGGCACAAGGCTTTAAACTGACAGCCGATTGTTGCAGTCAGTTTTAGATATATTAATTTGAAGTTGATTATAATCCCTAGGGTGCTCTGGGTGGGAGGGCACAGAATATTAGCACCATAGAGAGTTGAATAGGGAGCCAAAACGGTATGTTAACCCAGGGAGGTTATAGTGGGCTACTATATAACCCTCTTGGTTCACCAGGCTAGCCAACAAGTACGGTGTGAAGTTTGTTTAGCCGGGCCCGTGCACGCTATCCTGTGGAGTGTGGTTACTTCCCGGGTCTTCACTAACGAGAACCACTCCTCACTTTGGATGACAAACGAGTTTGCTGAGGGAACCACTGAGGTGTGGCACGTACAGAAGCTCCGTTAGTTCACGTCATGTGGATTGGACCATCTTAAAATCAGCCTACGGTTTACGAGTGATTCTTTTACTGCGTTTAAACAGAAGGCTTCATGTAGAATAAAAGCGCAGTATTACGCGATGGGGCTTATGTTCGCTTCTGATTACCAATTTCGTTGAATTTGGGATGCTGCCTACCTTACAAAAAGAACACGTAGGAAACCGCCTCCACAAGCCCTCTACTCCTGTTTTTCTCTGTCTATAGACACTCTGGTTTTCTACAGACATTCTATCTTCAGCTGCAGATTACACAGTTTTTTCCCCACGTCTTTTTCGTGTATGACTTTCAAGGCCAGAGCAGTGCGCTGACCGACGGAAAGGACCCGCAAGCTTTTTTTTATCCTTCTACAAAAATAACCAGAGAGAAAATAAGTGATCTACCTGTATTGATGAGAGTCATGAAGTTAAAGCTTGATTCATCTTGTATTATGTAATGTTCTACATGGACGGCTAACCTTCCTTTATCAACGTAATGGTCAGAGCCGTGAAGCTGACAGGTTGGTTTCCTGTACACCACACTGTCTCTTTAAACATCCGGCAGCGCTCGGAGAGACCATGCAGGACTTGTTAACCTTTCGGCTCCGGTTGTCGAGAAAATCCTCCATAAACCTGGCCCCCCGCCAGACTGGGCTGCGGACACGCGGACACATCACGCAAGGATAGCCTCCACATAGCCTGGCTGCCAGGCTCATCACACACTAGGCCTAAAGTTAGCAAGCGTGTTGGCTTAGCCTGTGTGAATCGGGGCTTAACTGGGGGCTGTGGTATAATTTCACTGGGGGCGTGTTGGCCCTGGAGCCGAGGAACTGGTCTATGTAGGCCCGCCCTGGAAACAGTCTGGCACCCAGGCTAGCTAGCCGCCTGGCAGCCAGACCATCGTAGGCTCCCTGTATATCTTTACTGTGCTGGGAATACGGTGCCCGCCTGCCTAGGTCCATTGGCCAGAGTTTTTGTACGGGGTCGGTGTCAATTAGTTTGCCTACAATGGACGGCAACAACCAGAAAGGCATGTTGGATCATGGAAAGATCTAGCACCGAAAGAGAACGGTAACCAGCCCGGGGTGCTGCCTTAGCGTAAACCTGGGCTGGCTTAAGGCGGTTACACCGTATAACTGGAACAAATACAGATACAAGTAACATCCGTGTACTACACTTGCTCAGACCACCGATTGCCGTGTTTCTGTTGGGTAAACCACGCTCCCCGCTGTGTTGTCCCCAGTAACAGGCTACCGGGCCTCTCAGCCGGGAGGGCCACAGGTCAAATTCCGGCTGTTCTTGGTCTTGGCCCTCGACTTGCGAGCCGATCAAAAGGGCTTCAGTCCGTCGTGCACTAACCTTTGCGGGATACCTGTTACAGAGCTTGGAAAAGTCGTTGTAATGGCTACCGGTTCTTGTTCGTACATAAGAATGGGCATATAGATCGAGATAAATTCATACGCTATTAATTGGAAAGGGCACAGTTCTAAGGCGGGATGTTAAGCCGTGGCCCACTGTTCGCTGCACTTGTCGAAAAGAGCTAATGGAATTCCCCGGTACAAAGAACCTCTCTGTCACAGTCAGTGGTAGCTCTTCAGTATACGTAAGCTAAACTGGTTCAAGATCAGTGCTTTTTAGATTAGAAATCGACGGAGGCGGCAAATGTACTCCTGTAGCGGACCGTCACTCCGGATCCCCTGGCATGTTATCTGTATATTTAACCCTTTCCAGCCGCTTCCGAAGCCTGGTAGAGGCTATTCTTGTCTATTTGTTCACGTGTTGCTGTTTTCCTGCAGGTGATCCAGCGGCGGATGAACGGGCTGGTGGATTTCCAGCGGGGCTGGGAGTCGTACCGCCAGGGCTTCGGCGACCTGGAGGGCGAGTTCTGGTTAGGTAATTTCCACCTCACTAAAGCTCTGCATACGTAGCTTAGGTGCCATCCTACATGTACATGTAGTTTGCTTACTGGAGCTCCCACGTAGCCTCTACCAGGCTTTTACCTTCGCATATAGTCTGCTCTTACTCAAACAAATTCATATCGGGTCAGACAGGAGTCTAAATCCCTCCTGCTATAGAATTGCAACATGATGTAACCCAGCACTAGTTATCATGGTGACAGACGTCTGGTTCAGGTCATTGACCTTATTGGTTTGGAGAAGAAGAAGAGGAAACAGCAAAAACAATATGTTTTCCTTCGGTAAACATAAGTAGGACATTTACAAACATTAGAGAGATTTATACTGTAAAAGACCCCTGTCTTCCCTTTTGTCTTTAGGCAATGACAAGATCCACCAGATCGCCAGCCAGGGCCGGTACACGCTCTACATAGACATGGAAGACTTTGAGGATGAGACGCGGTACGCCAGGTACGGTCTCTTCCGGATCAAAGGTCAGGATGACAACTTCCGGCTGGAGGTCCAGGACTACGAGGGAGACGCAGGTACACATATAGCCAAATATGGAATGACTGCACTCACGTGACAATGACGTCATTAGCGGCAGCCATGGTGGCTGGTTAAAGAAGAGTCCCAAGTCATTTAGTAAAAGTATTTGATATCTGTCTTCCTTAACTTACCTTTTACCCGTAAATAAAGAGCACTTCTTCTTCTTTCATTTTGAGGCAGCCGCCTTCAACTATCTGAAGATTCTGCTGCCTTTTTGTGTCTAATATGAGATGGGGTTCGCCAGGCCTCCATCCAGGAAAGTCGTGTAAAATGCCTTCCCCAAGGGCAGAAGATCGGTGACTGGCAGGTTTCGAACCCGGGACCTCTTGGTTCCGAGCCGAACACGCTACCTTTACGCCACACGACCCACCAACTATGAATTCTATTTTCATAGAACCACATTGACTTGACTTCTAGTATTCTTTTTCCCCGGCACATTCCAGGAGACGCTCTAGCAGCCGGCCAGCACAACGAAATGACGTTCAGCACCAAGGACAAGGACAACGACGCTTGGCGGCAGGGCTCGTGCGCGTCCCTGTTCGCCGGCGCCTGGTGGTACTACAACTGCCACTGCGCCAACCTGAACGGCCAGTACCTGCGCGGCCAGCACCAGACGCACGGAGACGGAATCAACTGGTGCACGTGGCACGGCTACACCTACTCACTCAAGGGGAGTGTCATGAGGATCAGGCCCGCGTGAGGGGAGGGGGTACAGTGGGGGAGAACCGTTGCTAGGGGTGGGGTGGACAGATTGTTATTGGAAGGTTTGCGTACCTGCTCAAAGGGACTACCCATTTGTGGCCATTTGTATTTAAGATCGACAGGTCTTGGTTCTCCGATATGTAGATAAATAGATAAAAGGGAAGTGTCGAAGGAGATGTAGTTGTCTAAACTCTACCTTATCGTTCTCTGCTTGTGTACATTATGTGTTTATTTGCCATGGATTGAGCCACCATTATACCTCATTGTGCGATTTTAATACTCACATATTCTATGATATATTTGATATACATTCTATATCAATTTCAATTCTTTTTACACCTAGCAAACATAAGTACTAGTAATTAAGAATCCATGTAAATGTAGTAAATTAAAGTAAAATATCATTTTTTATTTGACAGAGGTCTATGAAAGATCGGTAAGTAACATAATATCGGCAAAAGATTTGATAGTGTAAGCGAGTTACTCAAGTAAATTTGTCTATAAAATAAATGGATTTGTTTTAATTCTATAGAGTTATTCCAGTGCAACTGCGTGAACATTCATATAATACATGTACAGCAACAATTTTGAACAATAAAGGTCCGAAAAATATAGTGTGTATCCTTCAATCGTGCGCGTCCTTGGGTGATGTCGGTCGAGCAAACAACCTTTGACACTTATAAAAGGCAAGCGTGCAAAACAGCTGGCCACTCCAAAGTTCAGTACTAGAAACATGGCGGCCGTAGGAAGTACGTGTATGCTGGTGTGTCTGGCGCTCATGTGGCCGAACTCGAATTTGGTGACGTCATCAGCGCCCACACCTGAGGACTGCGTCCCGGGGATGTTCGGTAACCATGGAAACGGCTCGGCGGCGCTGTGGGCCTGCCGGGCGCAGGTGGCACTGCAGCGGAACTGGTTCCCGTCACCCATTGCGGGCCTCTTCAGCTATCAGGTGGGAACGATTCGTTGTACTTAGAAACGAGCTTTATCATTGTTCTGGATAGTCCACGTGTATCCAGATCCTTGCTTTGGCAAAGCTACTGTTCTTTTGACTTGGATACATGGGGACTATCCAGAACCGTGCCAGATCCTAACCGGTAACCCATACAGGCATAGACCTAGATAGACACGGTTGAGGATGCGCATCCCTTCTCAATGTGGTGGACGAGCTGGGTTGGAATGATACTCCAGTTAATGACTTTTCAACATCTGTGTTATAAGAACCTTTTTGAAAATAATGAAGAATTTTTGAAAGTTGTATATTTGCATGCCTTACAAACTTACATGCAAACTCATCATGCTTTTGACACATATTCTTTGTTTTTGCTTAAGGTGTGGAACGGTTTTGACGGTTTCTGGCAGAACGGAGCTGTTCTGGAGACGTTCGCAAACTTCATGCACTACGGAAACCACACCAGGTAACATGGAGCAAATCCCTTTATATAATCAAGATATTAGACCGCTATTTTTTATCACCACCATAGATCAACAGGTGTACATGTATAGGTCACCATCCCATATGCCTTGTATATAGATGTTTCGCCGTTTGGGATCCACAGATATCATGTTAACCATTCTTACATCTTCTCTGTTCACTGTTCCGGAGGGCTCACTTGGGCTGCGTCCTGTCAATTCTCCAATGTTCTCCTCCCATCTGTACGTGTTGAAGTAGACTATTGCATGTAAGCCTCTTTGAAAAAATCGTTTGTTTGTATGGTACAGGTACCAGACGTGTCTGAAGTCGTCCCTGCGGCAGATGTATGACCTGATCCTGGCCTACGCGCCTGCGCCCTCCTATGACGACATGGCGTGGTTCGGGCTCAGCTATCTCAGGATATATGAGGTGTCAAATATAATCTTTACTGTTTTCAATTTTTATCTTCAAAATTCAAAACCTTTGGAACCGCGTTTTACTTCTTCCTTCACTTCCAAACAGCAATTTTGTAGTAAATTCATTGCTGGAAAATCTATAATGTTGCTAACTTTGTAACTAGTACGGACACTATGCATTCCCTGTTGAAATTTTAAGAATCTCTTCCAGGTTCTCGGTGACAAGGACTTCCTGTCCCTAGCTCAGCAGATTCACGACTGGAACTACCAGTACGGATGGGATCATACGGGCACTTGTGGAGGTAAACAACGGGTTTATTTTGTTTTCTGCGATAACCTATGATCGACATAAACGCGAAATATTGAGAAACATTACAAAATATTTAGATGTATTGAAACACGACGAAATTATCTTATATTCAGGAATAATCATTGCTATTCAAGGTTTCACTCATATGATTATCGACATCCTTCTCCATAAAAATTGTTCATTGCACATTTTTAATGCTGGAACTATGTACATTCCATTTCCAGGTGGGTACTGGTTCTACGATAAGAAAACCACCATCACAAATGTGCAGATGTTACAGCTGAGCGCCAAGTTGTACAGGTCAGTCTAGACTTGGTCTATGTAGCTATCCAAAGTGAAATTTCATTTGCCTTGTGATTGTGACGTACGCCTCTGGAATAAATTTAGCTAAATATGCACAATACATTATGATATCTAGTTGTAACCCGAGTTTGTTACTATTGACACAGACACACCGGGAACTCAACATTCCTGGAGAGAATGAAGACGACCTGGAAGTATATACAGAAAAACGGACTGATTGATCAGGAAACGTTCCAGGTAACAAACAAACAAATTCAACAACAGGCGTGGCATTATTTGCCATTAGCAACGGGTCAAATGAATGAATTTTACTTCTCCGTTCATGTGCTTGGTAGTCTAGATCTGTGGCGCCCCACGTCTTTGTTGAGGGATGGCTGTAATGCCCTGATGTAGATGGCCGATTAAGTTTGATTTGCTCCACTATTAACTGCCAAAGTTCTGTCCACTAACAGTTCTTCCGTGTGACATTACAGGTGTCGAACATAGCGACCGACAACTGTACGGGAAACCGTGACTTCAACAAAACCTTCAACAGCGGGGTGCTGGTGGGCGGCCTGGTGGAGATGACTAACATCCTGAACGACACCAGCTACCTGAATCTGGCTCACCGGGTCGCCCAGGCAACCATCTTCTACAACTCTCACCAAGGGGTGCTGGTGGAACGCTGCTGGCCGGAGTGTGACAAGGACGAATATGTTTACAAAGGTACATTGCGTTGATCAAGCATTGATCAAGCATTTGCAAAGGTCTTTTGCTATATACGTGTTTCTATATCACATGTAGATTATATAATTATCTTGTCCGTGATAACGTTTGACATGCGCGTGGTCCGGACCGAGTGATAACTTTGGTTATGTCATACCTGGGCAGCGATTACGTTCGTGTTATAACTAGCGGTATCACACTGGGTTCTTAAGGTTATCACACGGGGTTCGTACTGTTCCATAGCATAATTTGAACGCGCTTCGCGTGCGCGGCTTTCGAACATTAGAATACAGGATTCGGACATTGGAATTCAAGTTCTTACAATGTTTATATCAGATATCAGGGCAGTTGATAAATGATCTTCTACTTCGCCAATATATTCTACAGGAATCTTTGTCCGCCACCTGCGCTACCTCATGGATGTTTCTGATGACATCACCAGGAAGGCCTACAGCGACTGGCTAGATGGCAACATAAAGTCAGTCTTACTTTTCTGTAACAATGGATGCAATTCAACATAGTGCTAGCAAGCAAACATACCAATCAACTAGAAAGGCAAAGGCGTAATGTTTACCTTCACATGGTCTAGCCCAACAAACTACTGCTCTGTTCATTACAGGTGTATTATGAATGTGTCCAACTCAGGTCTGCCCTTCCAGTTGTTACATAATGTAATCCAATATCACAGGTTACAGCACCAGTTACCATGGTCTGGTCCAGGTTATTGACCTTATGAAGAAGAAGAAGAAATAGAGCATAAGCAATGTTTTCTTCCTGGGACGATAAGCATAGTGAGACGAAACTTTATTTCAATGCTTATCTATTGAGCAATAAACCAATTTACCTTGGGCAGGTCTGTGATTTCCAACGCTGTCTGCTGGCCTGAGATGAGGTCCTGTAACATAACCTACCAAGACGGGCCTTCACTGTACAACAAAACTGGACCGGTCTTTGACTTAGAGTGGAGGGGGCCTTTCAACATCTCCAACCCTATGGTAGGTTAACTAATCTGTATTTTCAGTCATACTTAACCTTCTCCCTGCTGTCAGACTCCATAAACAACACAAATTTTGTGCCTAACGAGTGCCTCAGCAGACTGAAAGTTGAAGTATAGATAGCATCCACATTAAATCAATAATAAAGAAAAGGCAATCAGAGATGGCAGACTTCACTCCCATACCTATACTGCTTTGTGACATACTCTACTAGTCCTTGGTTCACTGTGCGCTGAAGCTAGGTGTAAGTGGCTTATTAGCTTCAGTGCTCAGTGAACCAGTCACATTAGCCCTGCTGAAGATGACAGTCATCACTAGACATGTGGTTGTGAAGAAAGAACTTTGCTATTCACTCATTCCCCAACCTAATAAAATTATTTAATGTGATTCATAATCCTCATGTCTTCAGGTCCAGGCAGAGGTGTTTGACCTCCTTGTGGCTAACATCGCGCCTGGGACAACCTGTCACGGGACAGGGTGCACGTACGACCCGCCCGTCCCCCCGCCACGCCACCTGACCTGCGCAGACAAGCCCTGTCCCACGGGACAACCCTGCTGTGAGTATCATAAGAGCTACACCTGCTGTGAAGAGACGCAGAAGTGTGTCAAGGGGGTCTGTACATGAGACTGGGAATGACACTATAATACTATGTAATACAAATGAATAACGCGCCTGGATAAATTTGCTGAATTGTAACATGCTTTAGATAGCAACCGCTATCTTTTATCAGTGACTGAGGATGAGTCTGAGGACAAGTCCTACCAATGTGATGAAGCTATTTATAGGAATAAAATTATGTCAAACATATACATTGAAATGCTTGTACAGTTGCATTTTGCTGTGTCATTTATTGTACATGTCTCTTGCGCTGCGACACGTTATACTTGTACTATAGCCTTCAGACACACATGTAATAATGACAGTCATCATATTATCAAACTAGCAGCCTCTGTGAGGCTGTGGACATTTTAGAGAACCTCATGAGTAGCTATTTTAACATACTTTGAGAATTTCAATGCAAGAAACTGAGGCCTATAACCTCATTGAAGAAATTTAACTTCTCATCATCATCAAAATTATACAGAAAACAGCACAACTTCCTTACAACAGGGTAGTTTTATAGCAAGTCCTTTCAACAAACAATTTAGCTGACAACACAAGAACTTAGTTTCATACCATAGCCAAAACTATACGTAGAAAACACTCCTAACAACAGTGCAGTTCTGTAGCAAGTGCACTTGCACTGGCCAACCACTGGAAGTCTTTGTTACACATACCCTTGCAAGGGGAGTAAATAAGAATTCAAAAGTTTGTGTCCTGTTAGAGATAAGAGTACTCTTTAGAGCCACTCTTTAAGAAGTTGTCAGACTCTTCGTGTCTTCAGTACCCCTCATTGTTGAAGGTGATGCTGGAGTAGTCAGGAAATTTCTTCTTCAGCTTCTCCACAGTGATGGAGTGATCAGCCTGGCCAAAGCCCTGCAGAAACACAGGAGAAAACAGTCAGTTTTTATATTATACTTGCAAGTGTATAATTCTGTTATAACTGTCAAACATTTTGTCACCTGTTTGTACTTTCTGTCCAATCAAGTCTTGTGTTCCAACAATAAAAATAGCCTATGGTTAGTTACCAGAAGAAAATGAAGGCATATGGACCAACAGTAACAAGCCATAGGCAAATGTACAGAATACATTGCACAAATCTGGTTAAAGAACACATAAATAAAGAAACAAATAAGTACATAAAATATTATAGATCCAAAGTTTTCTCTGTCTGAAAGTGACATACAGTGGATTTTCCATAGACATGGATTTTCTTCTCGGCGCTCTCGTGGGTCATCTTGCCGCCCCCTAGCACCTCAGACCGGATCTGCAGTTCATCCAGCACAGGCTTCACTTTGCCATAGATGTGGTCTGGAAGTCAAGCGGTTACAAACATTGTGGGAAACTACAGGTCAGGGACTAAGGGAGTATGGGTGCCTCGGTGTCTGTGTGATATGGACAGGGCAGTGCACAATGCCCTGTGTTTCTGTCTAGAAGTCAAAGATACAAAAATCCTGATCTTCTCTTGTAAATAATTTTTTTCCATAGAGAATTCCAGCATGGAATCCAGTCTTATTGTCTTTAACCTGCTTCCAACAACCAAAGTTACCAAGACTGGAGGCTTGGTAGCAACATTTGGAAGCAGATTAAGCCTAAAAAGACTGGATCCCAGGCTAAGAGAATTTAGGAGAATGCTAAACAATTTCTTTCTGTTTGCAGAATTACAAGAAAAGTTTCAAAATACATTTTTCAAAAATAAGCCTGTGCATTGTGTAACTGTCACATAGACACAAAGGCAGCCCTGAGGTACATATATAAAACATGATCCTACCATGGAGTACCCATACACTAGGATGTTCCTCTGACTCCTGCTATGCTGTATTCTGCCGCCGCCTATACATTCACAGTCAAACCCTAGAGCCTCAATCCCTGGTGCAACTCTGTCATAGATATCGGCTGGAGAAAGGAACAGTGCAAGCTCTTCAAACACACATCACATTCAGGTATCCTCCCATCTCTCCTTTTTTTAAAACATTTTTTCCAGTTAATAACAAAATCTACATATAATGTGGTGCATCTGATTGCGAAGTCCGTAAGAAAGAATTGTGGCCCCAGCAGCAGTTTGTTCTGAATATCATATGATTCAAAAGAACCTGGTACTTGCATATGATAGAACTAAACAGCAGTATATAGATAATGTATTACGGCTTGAAACAACAGTTAAGATAAAATCCAATGCTTCATCTATTTGACAGCTTTTCAAATAAGACTCTTAGATAGAAAATGCAGTTACAATACTGAAACTTATACTGTACTGCTTTCAACAGTTTTAGTTCCTTTGCTTTGCTGTAACAGTGGGGGGTTTATACTAGTAAGTGATACCAACTGATCCGTCTGACGGGTCTAGACCTTTTAGCCTAATGGTTAGAGTGTCAGGGTGTGAACTGGTGCCCTGGGTTGGTGTGGGTTCGACCCCAGCCCTGGGCCAGGAGTGTCTTTCTGTTTGTACTGTACTCCCCCCTTGTTACATTGCCAAGTGTTCTTAATATGAGAGCTATTTAACTTCAAGATGTTTCAAGTGTCGGCTCTTACCGTGGAACTCCGCCCAGGCGAACCCCCTGACGATGTCCTTGCTGACATCACCGGGACCATGGCAGCGGATCAGGATGTACTTGAACTTCCCGTCAGGGTCAATCTCTACATCAGGGATCGCTGGAGGCATTGTGGAGGAAACTTATTAAGTTATTTTACTTAATCTCATCAGCCATGTGTAAAAATACTCAGTTGTGTCATTGATATAAGCCAAGCAATAAAAAAGGCTTATGTCAACTATACTAGACACTTGTAATACATGTTGTAATACATGTGTAAACTAGAAAGGCCAATATTTGCTTTGGAGCAAATACAGCGATGGGTTCACCACATTTTACGACATGGCAGGGAAAGAATGAGAAACACAAGGGAAAACAATGATTTACATTGATATAACTATAATATGAAGTAAAATACAACTAAAACAACAGTTGGATAGCTATTCCCTACTTTATTGGTTAGGATTTTTAATTGCATAATGCAAACTGTTGATTTTCAAAATAAAAAAAAACGTCCATGCCCGGCATTCCAATGCTGGAGCAGGAAAGCTTGAAATACCTACCAAAACACTTGAATACAGACATACTGTCAGTATGGAAATGCTTCTGTGCAGGTGTTAATCAAGTTAAATCCCAACAGCCAATCAGCAAGAAGTATAGAGGAAAGCTGCATGCCTATTGGTTGATGCCCTGCATTCCATTGTCATGACTCATGCCCAAACATGGTAAACAAGGCCACTAACACAGTAATACATTTGCTCTAACACAGCCAAAAAACTCAAATAAAACCATTCTAAAAGCCTGTATCACAATAATTTAAAAAACGCCTAGGGGTATTTGCCCACTGTACCTCCATACCAAATTTCAGGACCTTGGGCCCTAAAATGAAGAAGCTGAATCCATTTAAAAAATGGCAGGAGAAGAAGGAGGAGAAGAAGAAACATCAGAAAAAGCAATATGGTTTCACCACACCACTTCGTGGTGTGGTGAACCCATAATCAGCATAAAGAAGACTGAGGTGATGGTGCAGGATGTTCTAAACCCTCCTGCCATACACATCAATGGCTCTCTACTTGCCGTGACAGATAGGTTCACCTATCTAGGGTCTACTGTTACCAACAACATGTCCCTAGATGTTGAAATAAACACAAGAATTGGGAAAGCAGCCTCTGTTATGAGCAAACTCAACAAGAGAGTTTGGGAAAACAGGAACTTGACAATGAACACCAAACTGAAGGTATACCAGGCTTGCGTGCTAAGTACCCTTCTCTACGGTAGTGAAACATGGACAACATATGCCAAACAGGAAGCAAAGCTGAATGCCTACCACATGAGATGCCTACGCAGGATCTTGGGTATTAAATGGCAGGACAAGGTCTCAAACACCGAGGTCCTCGACAGGTCGAAGTCCAGGACCCTGTTTGCCATGATCAGCGAGCGTCGCCTGAGATGGCTTGGACATGTGCGCCGCATGGGAAAAGGCCGCATTCCCAAGGACCTTCTATATGGCCAGCTTGAAAGCGGTTCACGTCCAGTTGGCCGTCCTCACCTGAGGTACAGAGATGTCTGTAAGAGAGACCTTGCGTCGGCAGGCATCAGCGTGGACTCGTGGGAGGAACTGGCACTCAACCGCTCAGACTGGAAACACGCTGTGAAAGCTGGGGTGAGAGATGCCGACATCACAAGGTCTCAATTGAGAGACCTGCGCCGGCAGAGACCAGCCACTTCCAACACCACCACATTCACCTGTTCAACATGTGGCAGAGTCTGCCACTCACGGATCGGCCTGTTCAGCCACCAGAGACGGTGCCAGACCCCTCCAGTGCCAAGCCCATCGTCTACTCAGACGGAAGGAGGCCGATGTAATACATGGATATGGGGACCAGCCCCTCTAGCGTCATGCCACTTCGCTACATAATGTACTGGTATTCAAACACCAGTTACCATGGTAACTGCCGTCTGGTCGATGTCGTTGACCGACCTTTAATATTCTTGCCTTATTTGCTTGTGAAAAAGAAGAAGGAGAAACTGGACAAAAACAATATTTTCCTTCTTAAGTATGAAAACGGGAAGGGGAACAGAAACCGTGTTTTTCCTTTCGTAATGCTGTCACGTAAACAGACCCCGCCCCCCTAAAAAAAGTCAGAAATTTGAGAAGACCGTCCAGTACCTGCCAACTTGGCCTCTGCCCCTCCCCCCTCAGCGGACATGGTGGAAACTTGGCGGGAGAATGCTGTTCTATTTGCAGACGACAGTTGCCTCAACTCGCACAGAAAGTGCCTGGTACTGTACATGTATATCACAGGAAGAGCACACTTTGCTGCAGCGTTTGTCGAAACAAACGATCTCACAGCACAAAACATCAGCCAGATCACAACCCAACACCGCAACACCATAGATGGCGGGAATCTCGAGAATTTTAGGTCAAAGGGTATCAGGATAGTCCATTTCTGACTGGGGAACAAATATTTGTGAAACAGAAATATCATCGGCAACATGTATCCCTCGAAGTTAAATGTATTCGATAGAATACAGTATTTTGTGAATTTTTGCTACTTTATAGGTGTTGAGAAGCGATTTTTCTTTGAAAAATCCAGATCGGTATCGCTGTCTTAAGACCCCTATTTATTGAGTGGACTCTCCCGAAACTCTACCATACGAAGACATGCCCAGACTAGATGTGACGATGTCTTCTGGGTTGAAGAAAGTTTTGTTCTTCTGTCTTGTCTTCTGTTCAGTGACAGTCTCAGCCCTCCACAAGGAGTTTTCTGAAACATATCTGGACGAAGGTAGGTCAAGCCAGAAACCTTGAAATTATCTGAGACCTTGTATTTAGTCGCTACTCAGAAGTTTAACGTTAGATATTATGATCATGACGCCATACTTGGTGAATTCGCTTGAAGTTTTCACAATAATTATTACTTCCAGAGCACAATGGAAAACAGCTTGTTATTTGATTCATTTGTAAACTTTTGCATAGGACCGATGCTATCAGATATCATAATGCTCCAAAGTTTCCCAGTGTCATATTATTATTATTATTATTTTTGTTTAGAATCTAGAAACAGTTAACGGCAGACACTCTGAGGTTACATTATGTAGCAAGGAGCTGGTCACCATATACATGAATGTGCTTGAGTAATATAAGAAACAAGGGCGGTGTTTAAAAAACACACCGGCGACGTGAGTATTTTAATAATATAATAGTATAAATTTGTAACCCTTTTGATATAGCTTGAGTAAAAGGAATTTTTCTTATAACGGATTGTTGTTTTAGTACTACTAGTATTTTAAAATGTGTGTGTTTTTAACACCGTATTGTATGTAGGAAGTTGTATTGTTTGTTTTTGAGGGTGCTAATATGATGCATGCATCAACGAATGAAATGTGTACCCTGAGCTGTAACTCACATTCGTATGGATTTATGTTTGATTATTTAGGAAGTACGTGAGTAAGGTATAGTTATTAGGAAAGAATGGTATCTGACGCAAGTATTACCAAATAAGGATGAAATTTTTAATAGGTATTGCCATATATGATAGACACGCCACGTGTACACTGAGTGGGTCTCCACCAGAAAGCAGACCGGGCGCTCGTCCAAGGTTCCCCAGATATCTGGCGTCTCCATATTCCACCTAACATGTCTGACTTTCCTCAGCGCCTTCACAAATTCACGGAGGCGTTGAAGGGACTTGTGCAGAGCTACCCCAAGGTCACAGTATGGGACCACAGACGTCTGTGGAGACACAACCCAAACTACTTTGCGCCTGCCGGCCTACACTTGTCCGATCTGGGAAACCTCCAGTATTACAAGAGTGTCCGCGGTGCTTTAGACCGCCAGCTAAAGCACATTTAAAACGTGTTCGCTTGTCCCTTGTGAACCCCTTTCCTTTCTCATTCCGACACAATTTGTGCCCGATTGGCTGGTTTCCCCTTTTCGTTCGCACACGCACGTGGTCTTGGTTTCTTTCACGCAGTTAGGCGTGTTTCGGCCGGGTTTTTGACATGAGACACATGTTAATATATTTGAGACAATCTCTATCCTACATCATGCCTCGCACGTGTTGATACTATGGTTTGTGATACAACAGAATAAAAGGTTGCATATCTCGCCAAACAAGAAATGTCTCTTCTGTTTATTGTGTTAGATTGCACTATATAACTAACGGTGACCTGGCCCGATAAAAGACGTAACGTAAACAACCGGAGCTCAGTCTGACGTAAACCTTCGTGGTGTTCACATCGCGGAGAGCTCCGCTGCGTAATACTTCAATATCTAAGGCCCATTGCCCCCCACACATTCAGAGCAACAAGTATGGCATTGTATAGTAGTGTATACAATAGTGTATATAATTTACGGGCAGTATCCTTGCACCGACAAGCGATACCCCGACCCGTACGGTGAATGTCGGGTCTGGACACCGTGTAGTAACGTAACCGGCATCGCAGTCTCATCAGTGCCCGTGTCCTCTGGCGACACTTACTGAGAGGTTTCCCGGATAACATTTCAATGCACATTGCAGTATTTACGCTATGGGTCACTGAATAAACGAATTATTGGTGATTTCCCTGGATACATGACGAAAATATAGGTATACAAACTATGATACGATCGTGGCCGAGAGCGGAGACCGTTACTTTGCACGGCCGACTTCGGTACAACACAGTCAATGCTCCGCTCGGAACGCCACAGACACAAATAATTTCTAAACTGTCGGTAACATAAATATCGTCATATACACATCCCTAGTAGATACTCTGGTTAGTCTGGGTAAAGGATAACAATTACTATGAGTAGGTCGCGCCCGTTGAGATAACGTTGGAATATAATATGGCTCCATCTTCAGATGATTTTTTACACAGAATTACTAGAAAATCTGTTCCATGTATCTGCTTGGAGATTGTGTCGGTCGGATCTTACTGTTTACGAGGTCTCCAAGCAGATGTTCGGGGGAGGGTATAGTTGGGGTTGTCCCTTTCTCTATATCTGCTCCATTGTTTGATCTTCAGATGATTTTTTACACAGAATTACTAGAAAATCTGTTCCATGTATCTGCTTGGAGATTGTGTCGGTCGGATCTTACTGTTTACGAGGTCTCCAAGCAGATGTTCGGGGGAGGGTATAGTTGGGGTTGTCCCTTTCTCTGTATCTGTTCCATTGTTTGATATTCGAGTGAATGCTTACAGACTTACTGAAAATTAGTAAAACAAACATTAGGTCCCTGTATCTACTTGGAAATTGTATTGGTCGGATTTTACTGTGTGCGAAATCTCCAAGCAGATGTTCAGGGCATAGTTGTAGAGAAAAAATGAACACGCTACACAACATTATGATACAGTAAATGAAATAAAATATGGTTATACCTCTCTCACAAGCAAACTAAGATGACTTTGTATAAAACATTCTTTCATAAGATAATCGTGCAGAAGACTAGCTATTCTCTCTTTTTTTTTTAAATATTTACATATCACCTTTTTCCAAAACTGTAGGACATGTAGGATGGCACATGCTTTTCTGTCATTCCGTGAGTTTGGAAGCTAAAGGCCCTTTGCCCTGCAAAACAGCCTAGGGTTTTTGCTGTAAACCGGAAGGGAGACTATTTCCCAGTAAGTCCGTCGCGACAGTTGCCATAGCAACAAACCTATCTGTCTGGCTGACCACCTCTGGGTGCAGTGGGTGGTCCGTGCACGAGGCACCATAGATTCATTCAGTCGGTCGCCAGCTACCCGCGAGGACGTACTAAACTTTCGTTGTACCAACTGACAAACTATTTGACTTATTTGAGCTCATTTGCCGTATCAACAATACTTACAACTGGACCCCTGAACGTATTCAACTAACGCTTCTACTGTTAGACGAGATGAGCCCGCAGACGAGGCCGTACCCGCGTGGCCGTACCCCGGACCACTGAGAACAACTGCTCTCCTCTCCACCAGCGATAACAGACTCCCAAAACGGTGAGTTCATACGTGCTTTTATTTAGGGCACACTTTTAAACAGGAGCGTTGACAGGTATCATATACAATTATGGTAGGATCCGGAGTGTATTTTATGTATAGAACCTTCCGTGTTTGGAGTCCTGATGACGACTTCACATTTCGGATCGTTCATCTTATATAGCAGACTTTATAGACGACTTACATTCTCCCCTGTAACCACCCGGCCTGTTCAGTGGTTGTTTTGTGTGACTTTGATTGTGAAACGTGTCAATGTTTGCGCTGGACATATCAGCCTTGTTTACAGCTGAATAATTTCTACGTTTCTTTGACTTGAATATGAATGTACACCTTGTTAATTTTGTAGGGCTGGACTACTTTAGTGTTTCCCACAATAATCTGCCTTTGATGTCCATTGCAATGTGTGTGGGGGCATTCTAGACAGATAAGCCAAACTTGTCTTATCGCCCATGCCCTCGATAAACTGAAACCGTCCTGCTTGTGGAAAAGGACGCGAGGAGAGAGCACATGGATGCTCTGATTGGTCAATTCCGGAAAAGTTTGAGCGTGGCCCGTGCGATACAAACAAGGAAACCCCGTTCGGTACAAACGGAGAATTCCCCGTGCACTGGTCAACGTAAACCTAGCGGGCGAGGATCGGCTTTCGTGTCCGGCATAAATTTCCTTATGGCCCACATGGCGACATAGAACTATTTTCACGGCCAATGCAAGGCATGCGGCGTGTGAGATTCTGAAACACGTGGTATCTGGATGTCTGGGAGAAGCAGGGCTGCCATTGGTCGAATTAGGTGTCAAGCTTGTTGCTGGGCAGGGCCAAAAATAGTTTATACTAAACAAACTTCAGATTTTAGTAGCCGAGTCCTAAGGCTCAATGAGAAGCGAAATCTTCAAATAGGAAACGAAGCTACCTTCTTGCCAAAATAAGGAAGCCACTTCTTAACATATTTACAGGTAAAGAAGTAAGGTTATAAGCGTTTGTTTCCTCCTTTTCGGTTCCTGCGATAATGACACGAGGCTAATCACCGCTGTTTCCCTACAGTTGCCCAGGCCGGCGGGCGTGGAGATACGTAGCCCCTTTGCCTTCTCTCAACCAGGGATACAGACATAAAAAAAGGTGAGTTCATGCGTACTTTTATCCATAATTCTACAGGGTGTGGATGTTTGGTAACGTCGGCCAGTTTTGGCTAAGTTAATTTATGAAGCGCGACTGCTACTTATGCAGTTAACAGCTAATGTGTTATGTCAAGTGTACTTTTGACGCACATTCTATATCAGCCTTGTCTTCAATTGTTTTCTACGTTTCGATGACTTGTTTAGGAAATGTACACCTTGTTTTGAAGACTCATTTCAAACCGCTACCATTTGCTGTGACGTTCGCACCACG